TCGAATGGTGACACTCGGTAAGTAATCCTACAATTTTTTGTTTATAGCGTAGTTTATACGGATTATTCCCAAAAAATATATACGTATTTTGGAAATGTTGAGTCGGATTAGTCTAGAATCGATTAATTTTATGGAAGAAAATCTTTCAAACAGCCGTAGTCCGTAAACTTGACACGTGTCGGGTTGTGATTGGAAGGATTCGTAAGAAATCGGATTCCTAGAGAATGGAACGTATCTCTATCTTATAGGGGGGTCGACTGTACTGTTCTGTAAATACAGTACATACTTGTAAATGTATATATTTTAATATGATTTTATGTGCTTTAAACGCTTTTCTAGTGATATTACGACTTCAATATTTGTGGCGGACGGATGTAAAGTCGAATAAAATGACAAACTTGATTTTTATTTTTCCGTATACTTTTTTGACAAACGACTTATAATCGGGAACGACGTAACTCGAAACGACGTAAGTCGAGGTATACCTGTATTTATTATTTTGAATGCCAAATGTCCTATATTCAAAATGATAATTATACATTTAATTAATAAGAAGTTACAATTTTAATTAACATGCATAATACAAAATAAAGGTCACAGAAAAATTCAATATTTTACATATAAATAACTAGGACAATAATGAGTTAATATACCTACCTATGGTATCCTTATTTTCTGTTAACATTTATGTACTGTACGTAGTATTTTTATATGTTTTAATGAGAATAAATCTACTTCAGAAGACAAAATTTGATTGTCTTTCAAATATTGCAGCAGATTGCTATAATCTGTAAGTAAATAGAAACAGTACTTCATAAACCCACTTTTGACCGTAGGTTTGACTTCATAAAAATAATAATAATAGATTCTTATATTTCGTTTTGTTATTATACATTGTACATTTATTAAAAAGATACTTACTTGAAGCAAAGGAGTTACAAGTCTGCTCATTTAAAATAGCAAAAAACTGATTATTATTTTGCAATCGAAAAAGATACTTTCTCATGGAGGCGTCCATCTTGTAAGCACTATTTTTAGCTGCTGCTAGTGCCATGAAAGAGCGCTGAATAAAATAATGCACGGATAGATAAAAGAAGCTGACTGAACTTGCTAGAAACGAGTTCAACTAGACTTAAAAAAAATTCTGCGTTACTGAACACGGCCCTGTTCTAGAGTGAAAGAGATAGTGACGTCAAAATCACGTGACAGCTGCAACCAATTATTGTGATGATTCATTTGTACTGTATTTCTAAGCGCATGCGCATTCACGAACGTGATCGTCTGTAACAATTTTCCTCCTGCGCATGCGCCATATGTAGCAGACGATACAGGAAGTGAGAGCAAAGCTTATGGCGGGAAGACGATGTAAAGAAGCTAAAGGTATCGTTTTCATTTATTATGATTTAACATTTTTACAATTAAGTTATAAAACAACATTTAATAAACTTTAATCAATCAACTTTCCATGTTAGACAAACTGTAATCACGTGAATTACAGTTGAACTTCGTTAATTAAGTCCTCGTTTCACGTCGTCTTTAAGCCAAACGACGTATAACGAAACCAATTTTACGACAGGCCAGCTGATATAAACAAAAGTTAAGTTCGTACGCCATATTTCCGGTCACAAAAACATCACCGAACATCTAGACCCAAAACACTTGTAATATTAAAACATCGAACTAAATTTCAACCATACACACGTTTTTATTTATTTGTGTTAAGTTATTTGAAAAAGATTAATAGATCTTTCATTCAGTATAATTTCATGTGATTGTAAGAAAATATTTTTTGGATTGTGTTTGCAATCTTCGGCATTTAATTTTCTACTTCGTGGAATCAATTTTACTATTTGTAAAGAAAATTCATCAGTTGTAAAGGATTATAAATGATAAACATCGTATCGTATTTTTTTCATCAACGTTTTAAGTGGACTTACTGTACTATTTTTCCTGCTGTTACGTGATTTGTTTTGGGGTTCCTACAAAAGAAAAATGCTAATTTGATTAGTTTTAAATTGTTCTTAACAAATAAGAAGACAATGAAATTTTTATTGCTGTTTATAACGCGAGAAAGCTGCTTTATACCCGTTTATGATTCAAATGAATATAAAACTTGTCCTAAATATTACTCTCCCGACCATGTTATATATAACAGAGGAAAGTATTGTGATCGGTCAAAGAATGACCCCAAGATTTTTACGTTTTTGGACGTGGGAGCTTGAAACGTCGAGAAATGAAAAAAAATTTGGAGTTTTCTGTAAACATGTGTGGGGGCACGAATTCGTTCATGCTCTTTGAAGCTTAATAACTCCTGGGCCCGAAAATTTCTGAAAGTTTGTGTATTAGGGTTAAAGATCAACCGAATGGGGAGGTAAAGGGGTTCGTGTGTCATATTTCGAGTAAGGTCGGACTTAATGACGATTTTACTCGTTATTAGCATTTACAATTTTTATAAAACTCATCCTTACGTTCAAAATTAAGTTTTCATTGCTATTTTATAATAACTGAAAATATAAAAATTTCTTAAATAAAATATAACAGGTGGTGCCACCAAATGTTGCCAGGAAAGTTAAGCAACTCGTTGCTTAATGGTTTTTATGTTATAAATTACTGCTTGTAATATTAGTTTATGCCACAAATCAACAAAAATATATAGCTGGTATAAAATTTACCATATTGGTATGCAATATCTAATAGTCACAGTAAAACTTTCTACATGATGTAATCATTAAAACGATATCTGGATATGTCAAAGACAAGAGATTTGTGGTCTGCACACCACTATCATTGGACAGGATTCACTGAAACATTGACGTTTCATTGGCAAATGTGAAATCATGCATTTTTCCGAATTTGCACTTGTATATTTAAATTTGCAAAACAAATTATGCTAAAAATAATTTTTACTTTCCCTGCTCTGTTATATATTTCAAAGGTGGGATTTATAATTAAAAATGTAGAAATTTTTAAATAAAATAACATAACAGNAAGCTTAATAACTCCTGGGCCCGAAAATTTCTGAAAGTTTGTGTATTAGGGTTAAAGATCAACCGAATGGGGAGGTAAAGGGGTTCGTGTGTCATATTCTATTATATCATACACAATAAATTCATAATTATATCATGCATCCGATATGATTATGTTTTAGACTTTATTTACAAAGAACAGATAAGTTAGTAATAAACAAACAAACAAACAAACGGCAGCACTCGACAGAAGAATTTTGTCACGTGACATAATGTTGCTTTGGATGTGTACTTTGTAACTTATAGATTTCATATTTCCACTTTTTTATGAATATAGACAAAAACACAAGTCTACTTACATTTCGTAACCTCATATTACAGATCCCAATTATTAATTTATAAGAAAGACCTTACAGTACGATTTTAGTTGGGAACAATTTTCTGGTCAATTAAATTTATTCGAGGGGTTTGTTTATACCTACTAACAAAATAAAACAATGTAAACTTATAGCATTATCAAATGCAAACAAAGCTTATTTGTAGGTTACATTACACCCCGCTTAGTTGACCATACCTCCCAAATGTTTGCAACATCTTGTTTCCATGTGGTCCAGTGATTGTACACCTGGCTTTCACTTAGGTCCGGGTTCGATTTCCGGAATAGGAACTTATTTTTTAGACTGGATGGCCTAACGATTAAGGTGAGCCTACTACTCTGGGAGACTCGGTATCGAATTATCATAATCAACTGCATAAAAGAACAGTGGAACTATAAAATTTGGACTATGAGATACACGAAAGTGTCTATTTTATAGTGAAAAAGTTTCAAGACGGTATCAATTATATAAAAACAGGTTTTGCGATAAACAGGAAGGTAAAGATTTCTCACAAACTTGTTAATTAACTGTCAAAATAATGTAGGAGGTGACATACAGTATTTGTCTGTATGGTGTTCTCATGAATGTCGACACAATAATGGCTAGATGAAAGATTGTAATGTGGCAATATAAAATCAAAAGTAAAGAAAGGACTGGCAAAATTTTTGATTTCTAGAGGAATCACTGAACTATTATCACCCTATGAAAAGCAAATGAACCTGTTAATCGTGTGTTTGAGTGTGCAGTTAGTCGATTTATGTAATATAGATAAGTTGTCAGTGGTTCAGTAAAATTCTGGGTTCGATGGGTACAAGGAAGAATTTATCAGACTGATAAAGGGGAGATTGCGGGTGCTTGAAGAGATGGTATCTTGGTTTTTCAAATGGCTGAACTGTTGAGTTGTTTGAGAGTCACTGCAGTAGGACTGGATTTGAAATGATCAAAAAATAATCTGATGGCAAAAGGTTGATTTTAGACATGAGCACTGGGTTCCAACAACAACTACAAGTGAACAGTACTGCATCTGTTCAACTGCTGACTGCCCAATATATGAGTTATCTGGAAAAAATTTTGCATGACCATACATTACACACTTGCATGTATGAGCTATACTAGCAGAGAACCACATTCTTTCCTAACCAAGATTTATTTCAATTTTTTGTGTAAAAGACTCATCTAGTGCAAAGAGCATGAAAATTGGACATTTGGCAGTCTGGTAGATGTGCCAGCAGGTGAATCATATTTTTACTCCATTTTACGGATGGTCACGTACTGTATATATTTAGTTCAACAACATAAAGCTCAGACAAATGATCACTGTAATTAATTGTGCTATTATAATTATTAATTATAATTATAATAGTTCTAATTATTAATTATAGGATAATAAATAATTTGGTACTAGAGATAGATGTCAGGTGCAAAGTTTTATAATTTATTAAATAATTTAGAACATTCTGGAAGAAAAGAACTTCTTTGCATACCATGTAGTGCACTTGCTAGTTTACAGTGATTGTTTGGCTTAGTATCAATACAATGGGATTCAGGATGTCAATATAAACACAAAGAGCATTACCATACATGATGTCAACAGTGTAGGCCAGTGGTAGAGCTTATGGTATTTAGTATTTGCTTTTGAAAGAGGATGCACAGTGCACAATGCTAATAGCATTTTTTTCTTTTTGATATACTGTAATGTTTTGATACAAACATTAATTTTAACTAAAAATTAATCAAAACCAGCACTAATCAGAATTTTTATTTCATGTAATGTTTATCAATTTATTGCAAGCCATGCATCATCTTATGACAGCACCCCATATTAGAATTAGACTGCACTGATGAGAGACATCTTTAACTGGAACTCTCAAAAGTTCCTTCTAATACCTCTGTTGGACCTGTGTTTATGGAACACTGTAAGACTGACCTTTGCTATCATCAATTGCTTGCTGACTGTAAATTCCATATGTTACATCACCATTTAAGAAAGTCTTTTCTTCCAAGATGACAATGCATTGAGCCATTCGACACCTTTCTACAGGAATGGTTTGAGGAGCAGAGTCTGACTGACTTTCAGAATATTGACTGTCCTTTCAACTCCCAATATCAATCCCACAGATCCCTTGTGGGACAATGTGGAGAGACATATCAGACATCTGGATATATCAATCATCTCCATTCTTGAATTGCAGGTTACATTACACCCCGCTTAGTTGACCATACCTCCCAAATGTTTGCAACATCTTGTTGAATCAATGTCACATTGGATAGATGCTGTACTCAGGTCAAAACATGACCTACAAAGTATTAGTTAAGTGATCATAATTCAGTGATCATTGTGTATAGATGATATTTTTTATGATGTATTTAATGATATGATTATTGATCTTAATTCTCTAGAGAAAAACAGAATTCCTATTTGATTTTTAAGGAATTATTTAATGAAGTATAGCTATATTACGTTATTAATAAGTAATAGAATAATTAACATGTAAGTTCCTTCAGAATAATACAAAATGGCATGTTTCTAGTAGGAGAGTGACACCATATATACAATTTTACTACTGATACAGGATGAAGTTAAGAACTATTAACAAATTTAAAACAATTTGGATGAGATATTCATAAATGATGGAATACGTAATTTGTAGAATAATTATAGTTTGATATCGTTTTTGCAAAGATTCGAAATGAAATTTGGAGTTTTCACCCTACAAACATTTTATTGATAAAGAAAATCATATTGTATAATGATGTTATTTTGTTCAAAATAGTCATACAAAACTAGAAATACATTATGATCCAAAGACGACACAATTCTTATGAGATTTATTGAATGACGAAATCATCGAATGACAAGTTTTATGTTTGATGTACTTTATACAATAATAGTGTCATGTACAGAATATTTTGATATTTCCAAGCTGTGCCGAAAAATCTAAAATTTTTTTATAGAAATGTATACCGTTGCCCATCAGTGTCTGCTCTTCTTCGATTTATGAGATTTACGTGACGGCGATCCGGAAGTACGTCTCTTGTGGGGGGAATGAGAACTATTCCGCCTGGACCTTTTGGGACTGCGGCTCTTTGACCTGAGATATAAATATCCGGTTAGTGTTTACATTTTATTAAAGAAAAGAAGAAAGCAAAAAATGACTAACCTCTGAGACTTTTTGGGCGAACGTGATCGGTGAGATTTTCTCCTGGGAGAACGTGACCTGGAGTGGATTTCGGCAGGGGAACCAGTCGAGTTACGGGGACTAGATTTTCGATCCTTTTCGCGTTCCCTCCCCCGTTCCCTGTCTCTGAATGACGTCGAGTGCACTGGACTTTCTTCAGATGACACTGACTGGGATCTAGATGGCGACCTTGACTGAACCATTAAAGACTGGATTTCTCTTTCTCTCTCTTGCTCTTCTTCTAACTTTTCTCTTTCCTGTAAAAATAAATTTACTTTAGCCTCCAATGATAACAAATTAATAATTTTGTAATATATCATATAAAGTTTTTTTTAGATAATTTGGATTTCACATTACTCTATTTAAACTACTGAAAAATCTCCTCTTGTATATTTACCATATTAGCTACACACAAAATAATGTAAGCATCATATATAATGCTAACCAGATAATTCATTAAAATAATGTTTGTAGAAATCTTCCAGAATATCAGTTTGTGATGAATTTCAACAGTCCATGAAAATTGTAACTCAAAACATTGAACAATGAAATGATGATAACATTTTGGGGAGTAAAAAAATAATTTGCTAACAATTAAAATATGAGCTGGACTAGCACCAATCAAAGTGTTGCTGTTATTCCTTTAGCTATCAGGATCTCTCTGTAATTGTTTCAAATTGATTAATAGCAAGAATCAGGCTAAATGTTTTTGTTATTAACAAAAATAAATGTTTAACTCTATATGTATATGAAAAAACAACATTTCGTATTTTTATTTAATGGTCACTGGTAGAAAATTTGGATAGTTCACCAATCTATAATTGATACTAAAATTGAAAGTTCAAATTAAAGTCAAAACTGACAATGATGACATTATATTCAGATTATTATGCAAGCTTTGCCCTGCAAGCCACCAACCATTTTTAACTATTGTTAGCTGCATAAAAAATTGGTTTAATTAATGTAAACAAGATTTGAGTAGCTTGAAACCAATGATTTAACCATAGAAAGTTTTTTTAGACTAATTCATAGAGTTGAAATACAATTTTAAAATTTAGTTAATTATAATGCCAAGCACAAAAATTAGCTTTTATTTTTTAAGGTAACACATTTAAAAAAAATTTTTTCTTCCCAGTGAAAACAAGACAGAACACTTCTAATCCAGAAGTTGTATTATTAATATTCAATAAAAAAAGAATCTTTGAAATAGAAAAATGATATACAAAGTGAACATTATAATTTTATCTACTTGTGATTTAAAGAAAAGAATATTTATAGCAAACCTTTCTAATAAGTTTCTGTCGATAATGTTCTATTTGTTCAGACACGGTCATTCCCGATTTTCTGTTTCTTTTCCCAGATTCTAACTCGTCTTGAAATTTCAGCACTTTTAACTATAAGAAAAAAATATATTTTTATTTTTATTAGCAAAAGATTTAATTCTTCTGATATTAGAAATAAAAAAAATCAATTAGGATCTGTAGACTTTCTACACAATGTGCATGATTTTGTGGTTTTATGAAAATAATATAATCAGATTAGTTTTATTAAGTAAATAAAACTAATCTGATTATTAAGTACTTTCAATCCTTTTAAAATTCATCTTTGGGTTCATTGAATATTATAAAACCATAATACACAATTGTTATCAAACAAATTTAGAGGAACAAGTTTAAAATTCAAAATTGAACAGATGATATTTTTCTGTAATATACTGTTGTAAATAACTGTGGCGGTCGAATAATGTAACCTAGTGCTGAATCTGAAAATCCAGATGGAGCTATTAAAACATGTGCTGTTTGTCCGCCATATTCTTCTTCTCTCTCTCAGCTACACTACTCACGACAAGTGAATGTTCTGTACCGATGCATGCTTGTAACCGATCAAACTTTACGCAATAAGTGTAAAACAAAATCTTATTCGTGATTGTAAATAAATTTTCATGGTGAGATATTAAGCTTCAGTTATTTTATAAATCAACGAACATTCAAGTGGTGCATCAACCACCACATTGGTGACCCGAACGTGATAATTTCTTCCGAAGCTAATCCATCTACATCGGCTGCTCCTCATCGAAGTCCGGAAGACTAATAGTGCCAGAGACACTCACCAGCATTCAGAACAATCAAGTAACAATTATTTTTTATTTTTACGCTTTTTTCACACGTGCCGGATAACACATGTTGAACAACGATAACGGAAGCATGGCAACCTCCTTGCCAGAAATTGCCCGGGAGAACTCCACCATTCTGGAAGGCTAACCCGACACTTTGGTTCACCCAAATAGAAGCCCAATTCACAAATGCCAATATAACAGCCGATGAGACAAAATTCAATCATGTTATTGCGGCCATGGAGAGCGAAATCCTCGCCCAAGCAAGCGACATAGTCATCCAACCTCCAAACAAAGGTAAATACCTCAAGCTCAAACGCTGATTAATTGACCAGTTCGCGAATTCAGAACAACAACGGCTACGGCTACGGCTGTTGCTGCAAGACATCGAGCTAGGGGATCAACGCCCATCTCAATTACTACAAAAGATGTGAGATTTAGCCACAAATAGAATTTCAGACGATGTGCTCTAGACACTTTGGCTCCAGCGCTTGCCAACAGCCGCTCAGCAAATACTAGCGGTAAGCGGCGAAGATCTGGCGCGAGCTGCCGAATTGGTCGATAAAATCTGCGAAGTCACCGCACCAATGGGCCTGAATCTGGCCCATTGGTGCGGTGACATCTGCCAAGAACCACATGGACACGATCGCCCAGTTGAAGGAGCAGATAGCATAATTGTCCCTCCAGATCCAGCAAATCAACGAGTCAAAACCCTACTGACGTAGGCGGCATCACAGCTGCCGTTTTTTGTCCCCCCATCGAAACAGAAGCACCTCAGAGGGAAGGCAGATCTGCTGGTACCACCAGAAGTTCAGAGACAAAGCAAACAAGTGCACCTCAGAGGGAAGGCAGATCTGCTGGTACCACCGGAAGTTCAGAGACAAAGCAAACAAGTGCACACCCCCCTGCCAATTCCAGGCGGAAAACTGATCGGGCCGTCACTCGACGACATGGGTGGCGGCCAATCTAGGTGACACAGGCTCTTCTTTCATGACAGGGCCACATCCACGTGTTTTCTGGTAGATACAGGAGCGGACATTTCTGTAGTTCCCCCAACTTCGACCGAAGTAAAAAGAAAGCCAGACTGACTCCAACTTTTTGCAGCAAACGGCTCAACGATCAAAACGTACGGACGGAGACTATTATCATTAGAGTTGGGTCTGCGCCGGTTGTTTCAATGGCTGTTCGTAATAGCAGTGGTATCCAACCCAATAATTGGAGCAGATTTCCTAAGGAACTTTGGTCTGATTGTCGATATTCGACACAAAAGGCTTCTGGATACCCAAACTAAACTTGTGAGCGTGGGAAAAGCCGTGACTGTGTCAATACCAATACTATCACTCGTTGGAGACAACTCCTCCTTCCACCGTCTGCTCGCAGAGTCTCCAGAGTTAGTCACACCATCTACACCAGCAGAACCGCCCAAACATAGTGTCATCCATTTCATTCAAACCTGGGGACTGCCAGTCGCAGGAAGGCCACGCAGACTTCTGCCCGACAAACTCAACACAGCGAGGAAGGAGTTCGAATATATGATGGCCCAAGGAATTTGCAGACTGTCCAGCAGCCAGTGGGCTAGCCTGTTGCACCTAGTGCGAAAAAGCAACGCCGACTGGAGGCCCTGCGGAGATTATAGGAGATTAAACGCAGTAACAGTTCCTGACCGCTATCCCATACCCCATATACAAGACTGTGTACAACTGTTACGCGGCAAATCCATTTTCTCGATGCTCGACCTAGCGAGGGCTTACCACCAAATCCCAGTGAACCCGGAAGACGTCCCCAAGACAGCAGTAACCACTCCCTTCGGGTTGTTCGAGTTCCTATACATGGGTTTCGGATTATGCAATGCTGCACAGACCGTTGGAAGGTCTGTGCAGCATTGCATAATCCGAAACCCATCAACTAGATAATTGATGGAATTTTAAAATGTTTCTCGTCATCTCGTTATTGTTTGTTAATTTAGTTCGGGCATCTGAAAAGCCTGTTATTTTTCCAACGCATTCCATCAGCCATGGTTCTCTCCATCCACGCACGTTTTACCTGACAAACGAGCAAGAAAATGAAGTTATCAGAAGAGTTGTTTGTGAAGATTTCGATTGCCCATTCTTCACAGTTGAAAGAGATCATCCCAACTTCATGAGACCATCCCAACTCCAACAGAGAAATTATAGGGAATCAAAATTCCTATTCTCGTCCGACAGGCAAAAATGCAATGCAACCAAAACTCTAGATTTAGCCATGAGCAAACTTACTGCTTATAGACAAGGATCAAATGCGCGTGAAAAAGTATATCCTGCAACTCAACCAGTTCTCGTTCAGATTGACCAATTTTCTACAGTTCGTTCCAGCAATCCTTGGTGTCGATTGACCTTCACTGCTGGGTTTTACACACCTCATTATTGGGGAATCCCCGCTGCTCCTCTCGAAGCTTCGCTCAAATTTCTCCAGCTTAATGAAAATTTTCCGGTTTTTGTCCATACATTTACCGGTTCCATCGAACGTCATTTACTTAATGAGGTCGAAATCTTTCGAGAAAATTTAGAAAAACTTCAACTGTGTTACAAATCAATTAGGTTTTATTTAGCCCTGTACGATATACCAGTTCTTAAAGATGATTCCCGACACGAAATATGGTTCGAAAAGTGTTAAAAAATACAAATTTCTGTACTAATGATGTCATGTGATATATTGTATATATTATCTACAAGGTTATTTTTTGAATTAAAAAGATTTGTGTTTTTAATTCAAACACAAATCTTTTTAACCTTGATATATATGAAAATGCTGGAAATGTATGTGAAAATCTGGAGTTGAGAAGGGATATTTTAAATATTTTAAAGAAAGATAATTTTTCTATAATGTTTGTTAAAGGAAGTACTTCCTCTGATTCATAAAGAGAAGCAATGTAGTTCCTTCAAAACTGATAGTCAAGTGAGGCATCAAACTCAACTATCAGCCCAAAAGCACCTGATTTCCCCCCCTTATGGTGGAAATATGGCATGATATTTGAGTTATACCATTGGTGAACCAATAAGTAAATAACGTAAAGGGTCACCTTCAAACTATGCTTTTAGTCATGCTTTAGTCACCCTTTAGCCACATGCTTAAGTAATAGTTCTCATTGTTTGGTGCACTTGCTGAATCATCGAGCTACCAAACTCCCTACTCTCCATCTCTAGATGTTCTTAACACTCTCGATACCTTCATCATCTTGGATGTATGTAAACAGGTAACAAATTGATAAATTTTGTAAACCTCTCTCAAAATCAAGTTCTATTGAGATATCGAATATTTAGAAATTAAATTGTAGAACCTCTGCATTTATTTTGTATAGTTAATCCTTTGATTAATTCATTTAAGTTTATCATCATGTATAGAATTATTTAAATGTTTAAATAAATATTTTTCGTTATATTCAAATCCATCTAAGTGCCTCCATTGTTATCTCCACAGAAACCCAATAAGTCTACTCTCCTAAGTTCTGGCCATTTTTGGAAATATTTTAGACCACCCAGAGATTTATTCAATTCAATTGCGAGTTAGGATGCAAATAATTTTATCCTAACTGGTGTCAGGCTCCTGACTTAGAGGAGAGAGATTAGTGAGCTCTCTCTTCTTTTTGTCTTTCCGATATACATCCTTATAAGTGTCAAGGCTCACAAAAGAGTCATTTTTCATATATATATAAACAGTCCATCAAGAGTAATTAATAGACTCCTGATCCCATTTGTCTTATCAAACACATGGAGGACATTATAGAAGTGATAAACAGATAAATATTTTTAATATGTAAAATCATGTAACTACTTGTAAAATTGTATTACTATTTAAAAATTTGTTGATGTGGGGTATGAAAACAATTTTGGTAGTGATAAGTTTAATTAATTTTAAATATCATATGTTAATGTTAATATTAATTTTAAACTTATTCTTAGCAAAACAAGTTTAAAGTTCAAATTGGCAATCTTTGTTTGATAACAATTGTAAACTATGCTTTTATAATTTACTAGAAAATGAACCCGACATTGCGGGGCAAAAAGTAATGATAGGGAAGATTATTATTATTAGATTATAGCTGATCTTATCCATTTTCACCAGGTGCAAAAATTAGGTTCGTCCTCTTCCAAGGCTAATTAGAGAATTAAAAATTCTTATAAACTTCGGCTGCAAGATATTAGTAAGTTTTTTGATAAATTAGAGAATTTTTAGATGAGTTTAAAAATATGTCTGATTTCCTGCAAAAATCTGCATCTAAAATAGTACAGTAGAAGTCAAGTTCTTCTGAGTAATCCTTAATCCTCTCCCTCTCCCCGTGGGGGAATTTCAAAAAATCCCTTCTTAGTGTACATTCTCATGACATACACTGACTGTGCACCAAATTTCAATTTTCAACTCCTGACCGTTTGGGCTCTGTGCTTATTATTATTAACCCATCTCAATTATATTATAAGATAATATTTGATGAATCTGAAAATGATCCTTTTAATTTCCCAATAATTGTTTTCGGCAAACAAGCATTTCTAATCCTTTAATTAATTTAAAGGTGGATTTTTGATAGTAAATATTCCAGTTAATTTATTAATTTTGAAACATATTTTAAATAAATGAATTTTAAAGATATAAACTGACAACCAATATGCAAATTAAAATAATAATAATAATAATTGATATATTGTGGATTTACAAGTATACTAAACATCCTGTAACCTGATATATAAATATTCAACTAAACAATTGCCTTAAACAATCCGGCTATAAATTTGCTATTATTAATTATTAAATACTGTACTAAGTACTTTGATACTAGAAGTAGATGTTAGGTGACATCTCTTACTAAATTAATAATTATTATAATTTATTAAATAATTTAGAATCATCTGGAAGAAAAAAATAGCCTGGAGTGGGGCTTTAACTCACAACCTCAGCTTACTGTGCAATGCACTTGCCAGTTGTGTGATGGAAACAAGTCATCAACACTGACTGTAGTCTTAATTTTGTTGCCCATTTGCATTGGCCTTTAGTGTGTATCTAATTTATTATTATCATAGTTAGCTGCCACTTCAATACTTAAATGAAATTTACCTCAATTTCTCTTAATTTTGCTCTCCTTTCTTCACTAACTTCATTTTTGAGTGATTCTAAAAGGATGGTGGAGTCTCTGCTGTTTTCTTTTTCATCAGGTAATTCAGTTTCCTCTGTTACTTCTTCAATATCTTCTTCCATAGGTCTAAAAAATTAATTAAAGCAATATTTTAAAAAAAGTAGAAAATATTTGAAATAAATAACTTTTTAATACTCACTTTCCATCTATATCATCATCATCGACCTCTTGTTCCTGATCTGCTTGCTGATCTAACAGATCCCATTTTGATGTTGTAATGGCTAGATTTAAATGAAGATTTAAAAATTACATATGTAATTAAAATTAGATTATTTCCTTTAAATTTCACTGACTAATTAATGCTATTATACATTTGAAACTCTAAAAGAACTAAGTAGTTTTTGTAAATTCAAAGTTGTCATAAGTATAATACATTGACCTGTATTTATTACACTAAACTGGGGTTTGGCAATCTTTTATGGTGCTGTACAAAAGTGAAATAATACAATGGCTTACAGAATGCCAGTGTTATTTTGCAAAAAGATCTCTACTTAATTTTCTAGAAGAACATATACTTTATTTGAATGTAGAATAGCATAATATAACTCAATCATTATTAAAATACTTGATAATTAATTAAAACATTATTAAAACCATAAAAGCAAATTAGGAAATTTCATTTTATGAATTATGAACATTGTCATTAATACCAATGAACAATTATTCACTGGAAGAGTATATATGGTGTTTTGTATTAATTTCTGTACATTCCAGCTTTTGAAGATTTGTGATTTAATACCAATGAAGTTAATGAGGTAGCAATAGAAAATTTTTTATTTATAGTTATATTAAGTTAGTTTATTTATTTTTCCTTTTCAGTTATTTCGAGTATTGGGGATGTTAAATCTCAACTGCTATATCAACACTTCCATTTCATTTGTAAAATTTCATACTGATATTTAAATAATAAATGGAATTGGATTGTGCTAATTTAGAGTTTAAATATTATTTAATATTTTATTATATTTTTGCACAAGTTAAACATTTCATTAATATTTTTTTGTAATCATGTTTAATGGTCTTTGATACATTGTTAATTTGCATATTGTCAAACTGATAGAGCAAGCTATTCTTTGCTTTTCTGCTGGTCACTGCACAGCTACTTTTTTGTAAGTGATCAATTGCTGATTAAGGGTTTTTATTCTGCTAAGTATTTTTCTCTAGTCAGGTTAATTGTTTGAGATTTTGAATAATTATAATTTTGTAAATTGTACTAATTACCAATTTCATTGTTTTAAATACTGAATTTGAAATTTGACTACAATACAAAAATTATAATTTCAACAGCAATAATTAGTATAAAACTTGATTACTACAGTAATGGAATTTATAAAGTTTTTTAATATTTTGGACCTTGCAATTTTCTGCAGAAAAGTACATTATTTTAAGCAAAAATCCTGTTTGATGTTGTTATTGATATCAACACACATTTTGATAAATTGGAAAATTGATAGACAATTCTCCAATTTACAAAAATACCAGTAACATTGTTGTCTGCATTATCTAAAACAAATCTCTTTATTGCTTGCATCCACAGTTTTCCAACAATAAAGTGCTATTATTATTTAGTGTTCTCATCATTAGTGTGCTATAGAACACCAGTTGGAAATTAATGCTTTAAACTAAATAAAATCATTTCTAACAAAACAATTTGTGTAAACACACCAGACAAAAAACTTGTCACCCTTAACAGAAATGACAGTAGGTAGTTATCGACTGCACAGAAGGTGCCACGAGAAAATTGTTGTCAGATAAATAGCATGGACGTGGTCTACAAGGTCATTTTTTGCTTCATGTAGTAGTGGAGAGCAACGTGATTATTGAATTGTATCTTCAATACCAGTCAAACAACAGACATTATTGAGTGGCAAAAAGAAAGCCATCATGTTTGGCATGCCCACGGACACAAAGTGAATGAAGTTGCCCAATTTGTTGGTGTGTTGAAGAGTACTGTCCAATGGGCCTACAAATAGTGGTTCAGTCAAAATAATCTCAAATAATACTGGAATGAAAAACAATTATATAATGAAACACACCTTTTTAATTTCCAGCAGTAATTTATTATAGTAAAATATGTATTAATAAAAAAATAAAAAAAAAAGGTACAAGTGATAGGTACATACCCAGTACAGCTTGGCATAACTGGGTGGCAAACTATATACAGTCATCATATAGTAAAATACTACTAAAAATCAAAAGGTGTGTTTCATTATATAACAGTGTTGTTGTTAACAGTTACATGAAAATCATCAAACAGTGCAAAAGGTATGCCATCCATTATTAGGTATATTGATTTTTTTGTCCCGTGTACTTAATTCTATAACGTTAATATATAATAAAAGAAAAGCTGTTATTATTTGAAATAATATTTCAATACACAGAAATATGAAATAGAAATAAAAATACAGTGGATCCAATTTTTACAAGTTAATTTGTTTTTAATGAACTATCATTAAGCAAGCCAGGGTAAATCAAACTATAATTTTTCTTTGTTGTGTCATAAATTTAGGTTACATTTTTGAAAATGTCATTTGAACTACATAATACCATGAGAAAACAAAAAAAATTCTGGTTTTTTTGTGTAAACATAGCAGAAAATTATATTAATTGTAAAAGTGGAAACCTTAAAACTAGTGGACATAAAATAAAAGTCTACTGTGCAATTAAATGTACAGAATAAAACTCATAAATTAAAATGAACAAAAACAATCTGTTAAATCTTTATCAAAATCTTTACAATTAAAATTCATAAAATAATTCAGACAGTTATTGTAGATTTGTTTATTTGTAAGATCAGTAAACAAGGAATGAAAATAGTGAAATCTCAATTTATGGGTATTCGACATAAATTCAATAAAACAAAGCTACTTTATTCTGTTTCCGAATTTATAATGTGAAGTATTTGATAGAGTGATTAGCAACCAATATTTACAAAAACAAAATATATTAATCACAAATGTGATAAAATTAAAATTTCCATGCACTATGATTAATAACTAATGTGTCTCATTCTCCATTTTCTCTGTTGCTATAATAGTGACTACATTTTGTTAGAATAAGTTAAGCTACATTTTGGATAGTTTCATCCACAATTATATATTTTATTTTATATTTTAATTAATGTATTGATATTAAAGTAATTTATACAAATTAAGAAGGGATTTTATCTTCACTAAGAGACAAAATGCAATGAAAAACGAGCAAAATATAAATGTATAAGCGGAACAATATTGTAAATCAAGTAACATGCCTACATCAGATAACTGAGACTACCCTCTTCATTTAAAATAAAACACAGAAAAACATATATAAATTTATTTTATAGTTATATTTGCATATTATGTAAATAGCATTTTATTTTTATGATTATACCTTGAGCTTCCACTGTTTCTGGATCAACTGTTTCCCATTTTGACGGTATGAATTTTAATTTAGGACTGGGAGATCTTCCAGATGATTCTTCCATCGGTTGGCCATCAATATCTTCTGAAACTAAAACAGAAATCATAGACGTAAAATAACTAAACATATGAAATTTAATTTTTAGAAAGATATTTGAAGTAACATTTATTCTATTATATATATATCAATATATATTTAAATATTATAAATAAAATTATTATATATAGAGATCATAATGCGATGAAGAATGCTTTTTTAACTATAAAGTAATAGCTAATCTATACTATAGCAGCCCACAAGACAGTGGCACTGATGATATACTTTCATTCCTACATCTGAAATAAATTTAATCTTTGTTATGTTAACTAATTTTTATAACCTTATATACTTTATTTATAAATTCTTAAGCAGTTATGAATATGTAGGAAAAGATAAAAGTAGAAAATGAGTAAGTAAATTAAAACTATTTTGTAGTTTTAAATAAAACTGAAAACAATATTCTCCATGTACGAGGGCTGTTCGGAAAGTTCGCAGCCTCAAATAGAACAACAAACAAAATAATGTTAAAACTTTTTTATTTTTCAATGTAGTCTCCTTTGTTAGCAATGCACTTATTCCAGCGATGTTCTAGCTTTTTTATGCCATCACAATAGGTCGATTTGTCAAGGTGTGCAAAATACTTGTTTACTTCAGAGATGACTTTGTCATTTGAGTGAAATCTCTTTCGAACCAAGAATTATTTTAAATTTGGAAAAAGGTGGAAGTCACTGGGGGCCAAATCAGGTGAGTACGGTGGATGTGGAACTAATTGGAAGCTAAGTNCCTGACCGCTATCCCATACCCCATATACAAGACTGTGTACAACTGTTACGCGGCAAATCCATTTTCTCGATGCTCGACCTAGCGAGGGCTTACCACCAAATCCCAGTGAACCCGGAAGACGTCCCCAAGACAGCAGTAACCACTCCCTTCGGGTTGTTCGAGTTCCTATACATGGGTTTCGGATTATGCAATGCTGCACAGACCGTTGGAAGGTCTGTGCAGCATTGCATAATCCGAAACCCATCAACTAGATAATTGATGGAATTTTAAAATGTTTCTCGTCATCTCGTTATTGTTTGTTAATTTAGTTCGGGCATCTGAAAAGCCTGTTATTTTTCCAACGCATTCCATCAGCCATGGTTCTCTCCATCCACGCACGTTTTACCTGACAAACGAGCAAGAAAATGAAGTTATCAGAAGAGTTGTTTGTGAAGATTTCGATTGCCCATTCTTCACAGTTGAAAGAGATCATCCCAACTTCATGAGACCATCCCAACTCCAACAGAGAAATTATAGGGAATCAAAATTCCTATTCTCGTCCGACAGGCAAAAATGCAATGCAACCAAAACTCTAGATTTAGCCATGAGCAAACTTACTGCTTATAGACAAGGATCAAATGCGCGTGAAAAAGTATATCCTGCAACTCAACCAGTTCTCGTTCAGATTGACCAATTTTCTACAGTTCGTTCCAGCAATCCTTGGTGTCGATTGACCTTCACTGTTGGGTTTTACACACCTCATTATTGGGGAATCCCCGCTGCTCCTCTCGAAGCTTCGCTCAAATTTCTCCAGCTTAATGAAAATTTTCCGGTTTTTGTCCATACATTTACCGGTTCCATCGAACGTCATTTACTTAATGAGGTCGAAATCTTTCGAGAAAATTTAGAAAAACTTCAACTGTGTTACAAATCAATTAGGTTTTATTTAGCCCTGTACGATATACCAGTTCTTAAAGATGATTCCCGACACGAAATATGGTTCGAAAAGTGTTAAAAAATACAAATTTCTGTACTAATGATGTCATGTGATATATTGTATATATTATCTACAAGGTTATTTTTTGAATTAAAAAGATTTGTGTTTTTAATTCAAACACAAATCTTTTTAACCTTGATATATATGAAAATGCTGGAAATGTATGTGAAAATCTGGAGTTGAGAAGGGATATTTTAAATATTTTAAAGAAAGATAATTTTTCTATAATGTTTGTTAAAGGAAGTACTTCCTCTGATTCATAAAGAGAAGCAATGTAGTTCCTTCAAAACTGATAGTCAAGTGAGGCATCAAACTCAACTATCAGCCCAAAAGCACCTGATTTCCCCCCCTTATGGTGGAAATATGGCATGATATTTGAGTTATACCATTGGTGAACCAATAAGTAAATAACGTAAAGGGTCACCTTCAAACTATGCTTTTAGTCATGCTTTAGTCACCCTTTAGCCACATGCTTAAGTAATAGTTCTCATTGTTTGGTGCACTTGCTGAATCATCGAGCTACCAAACTCCCTACTCTCCATCTCTAGATGTTCTTAACACTCTCGATACCTTCATCATCTTGGATGTATGTAAACAGGTAACAAATTGATAAATTTTGTAAACCTCTCTCAAAATCAAGTTCTATTGAGATATCGAATATTTAGAAATTAAATTGTAGAACCTCTGCATTTATTTTGTATAGTTAATCCTTTGATTAATTCATTTAAGTTTATCATCATGTATAGAATTATTTAAATGTTTAAATAAATATTTTTCGTTATATTCAAATCCATCTAAGTGCCTCCATTGTTATCTCCACAGAAACCCAATAAGTCTACTCTCCTAAGTTCTGGCCATTTTTGGAAATATTTTAGACCACCCAGAGATTTATTCAATTCAATTGCGAGTTAGGATGCAAATAATTTTATCCTAACTGGTGTCAGGCTCCTGACTTAGAGGAGAGAGATTAGTGAGCTCTCTCTTCTTTTTGTCTTTCCGATATACATCCTTATAAGTGTCAAGGCTCACAAAAGAGTCATTTTTCATATATATATAAACAGTCCATCAAGAGTAATTAATAGACTCCTGATCCCATTTGTCTTATCAAACACATGGAGGACATTATAGAAGTGATAAACAGATAAATATTTTTAATATGTAAAATCATGTAACTACTTGTAAAATTGTATTACTATTTAAAAATTTGTTGATGTGGGGTATGAAAACAATTTTGGTAGTGATAAGTTTAATTAATTTTAAATATCATATGTTAATGTTAATATTAATTTTAAACTTATTCTTAGCAAAACAAGTTTAAAGTTCAAATTGGCAATCTTTGTTTGATAACAATTGTAAACTATGCTTTTATAATTTACTAGAAAATGAACCCGACATTGCGGGGCAAAAAGTAATGATAGGGAAGATTATTATTATTAGATTATAGCTGATCTTATCCATTTTCACCAGGTGCAAAAATTAGGTTCGTCCTCTTCCAAGGCTAATTAGAGAATTAAAAATTCTTATAAACTTCGGCTGCAAGATATTAGTAAGTTTTTTGATAAATTAGAGAATTTTTAGATGAGTTTAAAAATATGTCTGATTTCCTGCAAAAATCTGCATCTAAAATAGTACAGTAGAAGTCAAGTTCTTCTGAGTAATCCTTAATCCTCTCCCTCTCCCCGTGGGGGAATTTCAAAAAATCCCTTCTTAGTGTACATTCTCATGACATACACTGACTGTGCACCAAATTTCAATTTTCAACTCCTGACCGTTTGGGCTCTGTGCTTATTATTATTAACCCATCTCAATTATATTATAAGATAATATTTGATGAATCTGAAAATGATCCTTTTAATTTCCCAATAATTGTTTTCGGCAAACAAGCATTTCTAATCCTTTAATTAATTTAAAGGTGGATTTTTGATAGTAAATATTCCAGTTAATTTATTAATTTTGAAACATATTTTAAATAAATGAATTTTAAAGATATAAACTGACAACCAATATGCAAATTAAAATAATAATAATAATAATTGATATATTGTGGATTTACAAGTATACTAAACATCCTGTAACCTGATATATAAATATTCAACTAAACAATTGCCTTAAACAATCCGGCTATAAATTTGCTATTATTAATTATTAAATACTGTACTAAGTACTTTGATACTAGAAGTAGATGTTAGGTGACATCTCTTACTAAATTAATAATTATTATAATTTATTAAATAATTTAGAATCATCTGGAAGAAAAAAATAGCCTGGAGTGGGGCTTTAACTCACAACCTCAGCTTACTGTGCAATGCACTTGCCAGTTGTGTGATGGAAACAAGTCATCAACACTGACTGTAGTCTTAATTTTGTTGCCCATTTGCATTGGCCTTTAGTGTGTATCTAATTTATTATTATCATAGTTAGCTGCCACTTCAATACTTAAATGAAATTTACCTCAATTTCTCTTAATTTTGCTCTCCTTTCTTCACTAACTTCATTTTTGAGTGATTCTAAAAGGATGGTGGAGTCTCTGCTGTTTTCTTTTTCATCAGGTAATTCAGTTTCCTCTGTTACTTCTTCAATATCTTCTTCCATAGGTCTAAAAAATTAATTAAAGCAATATTTTAAAAAAAGTAGAAAATATTTGAAATAAATAACTTTTTAATACTCACTTTCCATCTATATCATCATCATCGACCTCTTGTTCCTGATCTGCTTGCTGATCTAACAGATCCCATTTTGATGTTGTAATGGCTAGATTTAAATGAAGATTTAAAAATTACATATGTAATTAAAATTAGATTATTTCCTTTAAATTTCACTGACTAATTAATGCTATTATACATTTGAAACTCTAAAAGAACTAAGTAGTTTTTGTAAATTCAAAGTTGTCATAAGTATAATACATTGACCTGTATTTATTACACTAAACTGGGGTTTGGCAATCTTTTATGGTGCTGTACAAAAGTGAAATAATACAATGGCTTACAGAATGCCAGTGTTATTTTGCAAAAAGATCTCTACTTAATTTTCTAGAAGAACATATACTTTATTTGAATGTAGAATAGCATAATATAACTCAATCATTATTAAAATACTTGATAATTAATTAAAACATTATTAAAACCATAAAAGCAAATTAGGAAATTTCATTTTATGAATTATGAACATTGTCATTAATACCAATGAACAATTATTCACTGGAAGAGTATATATGGTGTTTTGTATTAATTTCTGTACATTCCAGCTTTTGAAGATTTGTGATTTAATACCAATGAAGTTAATGAGGTAGCAA